TTTGAAGCATTTGGATTCTTGTACTACAAGAGGCATTGATGGTTGATGAAGACTGGCCACAAGACTGGGCTCCTTGAGGACAAGTGAGAGTTCATTTCCCTATACATACCTATTTCTGACCCGTTTATTAGAGATTTCAGCTTAAAAGACTCACCTATTATCCAAAACTAGCAGTGATGGGAAGAGCACCTCACAAAGCTGCATGGCAATCAGGCTCCAGTGACTCTTCTTAGAGAAAAGTAAATGAGCAGATCCCAGGTTTTCCTGCTGACAATCCCAGTCCCCTTTGCAGTTTCATTTGAAGGTGATTGACATCTCTTCTCTCTGTTCTGCTCCCACATTTCATTTGATTTTCTTCTGGTCACCCTTTGACAGCCCAAGATCGCCCAGATTGCTCCTGCTGAGACACGGCTGCAGGGCTCCACTTTCCCTAATCTGTTTCCCCCTTCTCTCAGTTCTTCTTGTCTACATCTTCACTTGGTTGATTTATATGTCCATATGTCCATACAAGAATCCTTAGCTACATATTAGTAGTTACATCACTGATGGTATTTATATTGAACACAAGGCTCTGGTGCAAATTTCAAAGAACTCAGAGAAAGGGAGAGAGAACTATTAGAAACACCAAAACACAGTTTTACCATCAAATCTGTGCTTTCAGATTTGGTGTCTTGAAATGATATGGCAGATTCATAACAGATACCTGACTGTATTACTTGTAAATGATAAGGTGACAATCTGCTTTCCCTTAGCTATCTCAGGCACATGGTTAAAAGATTATAAAGATATAAATACACAATAAAATGCATATATTAAAATATAGTATAAAGGATGATATAATTTGAGTCTTACATACTCTAGACTTCAGACACTGTGACAGCTCAGGAACACTGAGCGTGGGGCTTTTAATTTGCTCTGCATTGAAAACTTCTTTATTGTTCACACCTTCTGACAAACAGTGCCACTATTAGTTGTTCTGCATGACAGCAAAGGGAACTCTGCAAAAATATGACCAAGTAGGCTCATTTGACGTGTATCTTTTACTGAAAAATACATTTTATTTGTCATAACATTCAAACAAAACAAAACAAAACAAACCCATAAATACAAATGCTTACTCATTCAACTACAACCTTTGGTATCCGGCAGTTCCAACCAGTCTGTTCTCAAGTGATACCGACATCTCGAGGTGTCCCTGGCGTGTAGTGCAATTCCCGGAGCCACTCGGCTTCCCTAGCATCCCAGGCTCACGGCACTCAGCAGCAGGATTGCTCCTGGCTTCAGCTGCGTGCTCCCACAGTGTCGCCTACATTGGAAGCAGCTCAGAGTCCATTTTTCTCTAGTTACAGCTTTATTTTTCCATGTTATCCACACAACGCTTTCATAGCATTTTCCTGTTTGCCTTATAACTCACTGCTCTTCCATCAGACATACCACCCACATTCTATTAGCAATCACTGTCCTTACTTCACACGTGCACTTTTAAATACCTTTACACTGATAACCCATCCCCTTAAAAAGAAGGGGAACAATAAGAAAAAAATGGAAAAAAAGAGGGGTGGGGGAGAAAAAAAAAACACAGAGAAAAGTGGAAAAAACACAAGTATTTTTAAAGTACTGTGTGTGTTCTTGGGTAGTGACAAGTCAATGGTAATTTATGAGAACTAGGAATGACACTTTGGCCATCAGCACTAAATAGTAGAGGCACCTTTGAATGCAGACAGGAGAAAAAAAAAAAAAACAACAAACCACACACAACCCATAAATACATTTTAAATCATTCACCAGGGATTTCACTTTACTCAAGCGAAACCGACCCTGCTGTGAAGGACCGGAGCCACATTCACACATCACTCCAGTCCCACTGGACCTAAAACTCATGGCTGCAACAGGCCTTGAACTCCGCCACAGGAAAAGGGAACCCAAGTGGTGGGCAGGCCTTTCCCTGTTGAATTTCACATGCAGTGTGCTGCGACTGCACTGTGAAACATCTAATACAAGCAGCTTATAGGCCCCAACACCAAGGGCTTGCCTCTCACCCAAGGTACGAAGTTATGCATTGCTCCATCAGAAGGAGAAACTCACCCCTGGCTATCCTGGGGAAGCACCACATCCCCAGATTTTTTTCCAACAGTCTTTTCTGCAATATCTGCTGTGTGCCAGGCTTAAGCCCAGGCTGGGTGCACACTGTGTGGAGAACCAGGGGCTCGGCCCTGCAAGTTACTGGTTGCTCCCAGCCCAGCTCAGCAAAACATAGTGCTGTCAGGCCGAAAACCATCATGGCCCCAGGAAGACCTCAGGAATCTCCTTGGGGATCCAGAGCCAGAATGTGGGAGGGCTTTGCTGGGCTGGGCTGGGCAGCTCAGCTCCCTACAAAACCCACCCCTCCATGCAAGCATGGGCACCATTTGGTAACAGACAAAACCTAGCAAACATTGTATGACGTTAAAAGTGATACATTCTACTGAAGAAATCTCCCCTGAGAAAATAAAGTAGCCGTTGGTATCACCTCATGTCATTGCTTTCATCTCTACAGGCAATTAAAATAATAATAATTAAAAAAAAAACAAAAAACAAAAAACCATACAAAATTTTCCTCCAACAACTACATTTTGAAATCCTGGGCACTTGTTTCCTAGGCATTTTTTCCCTTCAAGTACACTGGGTAAATCTGTAAACCCTGAGTTTGTGTGTGCAAACCTCTGTCTTGTAAACCGCAACATGAAACTTCACTCTGAGCACCGATATAAGAAAAGGTAGCACGCAAATATATTTAAACATGAATGCTAATATTGTAATGTACCATACACATCTTTGCCTCAGAGGACAACTTACTCTGGTACCTGCGCTGTCCTGCAGTCCAAAGCACTGTTGTAACACTGATGGTCTACTGGTAACATGCACAAAATTACTGAGTAAAGGGAACAGGGAAGAAGCACCCATTTTCCATAAGAGGCATTTAGCCAGAATCCCAGCAAAAAGTTAAGGCTTGTAATCAAATGACAGAAATGCAGAAACTTAAGATTACATGCTACAAGTTCTAGTCGGGCACTTCAAGCTCTTAAAAAGGGTCAGAATATTATTTTTAATTAGATTTCCATAACAATGACATAAATGAGAAGACCCATATTACATCAGTCCCTATATGTGTACATGCAGTGCATCTCATCCTGAGGGCAATGTCAAACAAAATCTCACACCTATAAGGACAGCTGTAGCTGATTCCTGCGTTTTGCAAATTACTTGTGGAAATGACAATCTGGGGAAAAAAAATGAAAAAATGAATAAATGAAATAAAATGAATAAAAAATACTTTGCCAGGTGAAACGAATCAGTACAGCCAAAGACTTGGTTCTCATGTAGAAAGATCATGAAAATAGCTAAATTCTGCACAAAAACATAGTGATAGAATATGACGAATAGAAAGCCCAGTAAATGCTTAAAATTACAAAGTGCTCAGCTGAAGATTCACTTTATAATAACATAATGAGCACTAAAGCTGACAGCATCTATCTCCTTCACAAGAGAGTGCAACAGCTGTGCTATTCCATTTGCACCATGTTTCACACAGTGCTGCCTACCCACCAGATCTTTTCTGTTCTAACGGTGAATGGAAGAAATTAACTTTTCAGGATTTACTCAGTTTAAAAGAGCAAAAAAAAAAAGCTAATGAATAATGCATACACAAATATGTTTATATTCTAAATAAATAGAAAGCTTTACAAATAGCTTGAATGCTTCTCCATCACCAGTTTGGAAACTGGTGAATAATTCTGTTCTTCCTGTTATCGTGACAATTATTTAGAAGTAGGCACAGGAAAACCCTGCACATGGCAAATCATTAAGTACAGGCTTTGGGGGTTTGCATTTAGATTTTAAATTTTCAACATTTCACCTTCAGAAATTTTTACATTAAATAAGTTAGGTTTGATCTTATGCTTACAGGCTTCTCAAAAGGCTTCACTGGACTGAAACTTTGGGCAAGGAACATGGTAGTTTAGTTACATCTGCATGTTCATAATTCTTTTTTACTGAGAAAAAGTAGTTGCTGTCAGCAAATCATCAGTCTGTGCAACACTGGACACACACTCACAAGTCACTGCATTTTTTGAGTGACCATGGAGTTTCTTGTTCAAAAGAGAACTGCTTTCTTAGCAAATAAAGATAGTATGGATGTGGCCCTCAGGTGAACCTGTCAGACACTGTTAAATGACTGCGTGTGAACGGAACTGGAACAAAGAAGTTTCTCTCAGGGGAATCACTAGGACTATCAGCAACGTGGCAGTTTGAAACAGAGAAGATTGCAGCCTTAAAGCAAAATAAATGCTGTCTTCTCCTTTAGAACCGAGATCTACAAATATTACATCCATCTTCTTTCCAGTATTTCAACACTGTGATAATTAAGGCAACTTGTGATGTTCAATACAGTACAAAGAAGCAAACAAAAAATGAAAGCAATCAAACATATCTTCCGATATTTACACAATCTCTTTTGAACCATGCCAAAAAATAAACACTACAAATGACTTGAACACTACAGTTCTCTCTGTTTGCAATTCAAAGTGCATGACTATAGAGTACAAAATAGAGATTTGACCTTATATTGGCACCAAAACCTATGGGGATGATTGTGATGTGCAGCAGTGGCTGAGAGCAGAGTGCCTTATTTCTTATTCAAAAGCCATGTGGCTACATTGGCTAATCCCAAACCACTGCAAGCACCTGGAGAAAACTGTGCTTTGATCCAAATCCAAACACAGCTCCATTTGCACACTCTGTTTTACAAACAGCTGCAGCAGCAGCAGCGCCACTTTCAGCCACACACAAAGTCTGCAGAGCAGCTTCCATACAAAAACAATTGTGCAGAAAATAAAGCAGTGATTTACTGTTGTTGAGGAAACAAGAAACTTACACAACTTGTTTTGTATGAAGCAAAAAAAGTAGAAAACTGTAGAAGCAGTTTTTAGGATGAGTGTTCGGAGTTACCAGGCATATTTCAATTAAAGGAGAGTGATCCTTATTCCTTGGCCCTGTAAGGAAAATACAATCATTAATAAAAAGTAGATTCTTAGAGAACTGCCACAAACATTTAAGCACTCGTTTCTACTCCAGAAAAGTATGCAGCATGTCTTTCACTGCTACAGTATTCTTCCTATAAATTCCCCCAAACTACTGCCAAGGATGAAACAGCAGCATCCCAAGATTTTAAACAAAGTGTTCAAGGCCAGGTTGGGTGGGGCCCTGGGCAGCCTGATCAGGTGGGTAGCAACCTTGCCCACAGCAGGGGTTTGGAAAAGGGTAGGCTTTAAGGTCCCTTCAAACCCTAACCATTCTGTGATTCTGTGAATCTACAGTCAGGCACCCTTGTATTTTCAGCAGAACCAATCCCAGTGTGTGGGGTGTGAAACACACATTGCCTTAATTCCTTTCTGGGGAGCCCTGTGTAGGTACATTAGAAGAGTACAAAGCCATCTACCAGGGATTTTCAAGCAAAGGCTTACGTTGGCCTGGAACATCTATGTATTCAGTGCTCAGTCTGGAATAGCCAGACAAGTCTTCTGATTTCAGTAGCACCAGTAACTATACACAGCTGGGAAGTGCAGGTGCCAGAGTTTACTTACAGGCCTTGAAAGTGAGGTACAGCACCCAGCACGATGTACATAAGTGAAAGAGCCCATAACCACATGTGCAAGCATATATACAAGTGCATGTATATATGTGCAAGCATTTGCAAAGTTAAAGCTTAAAAGTTGGTTCAGGAAAGCATCCCAAAGCGCTGCTGGTGGTGTGAAGCTGAGGGCTACATAAAATCTGAGTCAACTCTGGACTGAAAGCCAAGTTTGGAAATAGGCTTTGCTTCAGCAGCCATATGAAAGAAGGGCGGCAGGAAAATCAAGGTAAGAACTGAGCTGCCAAAAGGGGACAGATGCCAAGCCAGGTGATTCCCTGATGTGGTTACATGGTTTGTGAAAAAGAAAGAAAACAAAAAAGGACGTGGAAAAGAAAGAAAATAAAGAAGGAAGGGAGATACATTCTTTATGGGAAGATACTGAGGAGTGGAAAAAAGTATGGCTCAAGCTTCAATTCAGATAGAAAAAATGGGACCCAGCCAGCTCAGTGTGTCATTCCTACCAGCCGAAGCCAGGTCTAAGCGACAGAATCTGACTGCTTCTCAAAGCCACAACCTGGCAAATGGCCCGACCTCAAGAGAGCAATACGAGTGAAAAAATGATCAACAGCTCCTATCTGGACCTGTGTGAAACACAGAACTGCCAGCTCTGCTTCTGCTCTCGCATCACAGTTTCTTATTAGAGGAAAACCTACCCCAAGCAAAGCCGCAGATGCGATCAGAATGATGAAGACAAAAGGGTAAGAAAGGAAACCGTGAGAATCACAAAATCACAGAACAT